CTGGAACACTTCCGGAGGAACCATTTTGTGCCTCATGACAGCACATGTGCCATGGCCCCTGTCGGATTCATAGTGCATCATTCCGACCATTTCTTTGTGGTCATATTTGACTATAAGCGACGCATGGTGCATGTCTTGGGTCGCCATATCTCAGAGGATGCAATGGATGTAGGTGGAGAGGATCCACACGACTGGAACGATTGGAGAGGTCCGGAATATTGGAGGAAAATCGGAGCCCTTCATGGATGGAGCACAGGAGATGTTGCAGACGTGTCGATCATACCTATGGATTGGGAGCAAAATGGAGTCGACTGTGGTCCCATCGCTTGCTCCGTGCTCGAGCAATGCCTGAAGTTGGGATTAGATGAGGAGGGCAACTTGCCGGACTTTGAGATCCAATGTGGTCACAAACTGCGGATTCACATGCTGCGCGTCATTGCTGGGCGTGTCAAGCTCTGTTGCAGCGACTACCTGATGCTCCTGGACAGCCCACGAGATGGATGGCAAGACAACGAGCTACCCGACGAGGATGTCATCAATTCAATCCAGAACGGGCGACACCAGGCTGAATGCCTCAAGCTCCAGCGGAGGCTGACTGTTGTGAGCGCCACATGCTCAATGTGTCAACGCCCCGTCGTCCATCAAGATGGAGAGCATGCCTCGCACAGTGGCGAGAATGGAGATAACACCAATGCAGACCAGCATGGTCCAGATGCTGGATCGAGTGAGGACGATGATGCCATGAATATGGTACATGCAATCGGCAAGGCGAACCTTGAAAAGCTGTTCAAAGCAAACAAACAACTCGCTGGATCTCGGAATCGCAATTTAATAGTCCCTCGTGCCATTGGAACGCACCTTCAACTCGAGCCAGAGTTACCATCTGATGTCCATGATACTGAGGACTCGCAACGCTCTGTAGCTGCCTCAAAATCTCGGAGGCGAGTGAAGAATTGGTATCTCGGAAGCACCAGACGATTTCCACGTCCAACCGCACCACTTCCATTGGCTGCATATGGAGGTAGGAGATGGCTGCCGGACGACCATGGATTCGACGAGTATGAGGGCGGACCTACGATTGAGATGATGCTCACTCCCAGGGATATTGATACGACAATGACATTCCATGCTGGAGGAATGCAGATCTCCACTGCTTGGTTAGACTGGGTCGATTACGGCTACCGCATCACACCGAGTTCATTTCACATATTCTATCAATGTGACCCCACAGCAACCATGGACCATATCATGCCTATCGGCACAACAGACTCCCATGATCCTTCAAATCAAGTTCCGGATCGTGTGACAGGTGCATACAGCCTGAAGCGACGAGGATCTGATCATGAAGAACAGCGCACAAAGGTCACGGATGTAGAAATACTCTCTGCATCTGAACTCATCGACTCCGCCCACTATGATCCCCCACTGCAGGATGAATGTAGGTTTGGACACAATGCCTTTGTGCGCGGCTGCATCAGTGATCGTTATGGCGATGGTCCCGCCTTGTATGTTGATCTGGAACGAGATGCTATTGCACTCTCGGAAGATGAGATAGAGATCTCGGTGGACATAGACAGCATCATATGGACAACAAAGGTGTTCCGATGCAAGGGGTCTGTGGGTGTTTACGTCGTCCCTCCATTTCAAACGAAACCAGGCATATACAAGCACAATCACACCTATGTCGAGATCACCATACCGCAGTCAGAAGAAGATGCAAATGCACCTGGTGGGAGGACGGAATGGCTGTCAAAACGATTTCCCATGTCTGCCATCCCTCACGTCTGTATGGGGCGCATATCATCAGCTTCATCGACACTCAATCTATACATTGCATTCCCGAGGATGATTCATCAGCACCCAACAAACGGTCGGAGAATCACTCTGATGCCAAAGGAGGTCTTGGATATATTCTGGGATAGGGTACTGCTTCCATCGATTGGACAGTGCACCGATGTCAGCTGGGCGCCCTACCTGAAACACACATTGGAGGAGGCGCGTTACAAGGCCAGAGGTGCGGACGGGAGGAGGGGTGGATGGGGACCTCCTAAGACCATCCCCCTTTCAGATGATGACTTTTTGGATGTGCAGAAACGCATGGAAGCTCGCATACGTGATGGAGGACCTGAGCTCAGCATGTATGGGTCATCTTTCTTCATTCTGGAAGGAAAGGGAATCAAGCTACTCACAAAGGATGGCCAGAGAGGGCGTTTCTCAGGACCGGAAGAGGCCCTGCGTCGCAACCTGTCTGACCTTGACTGGGAATACATGATGAGCCGGAGTCATGGTGAACTGCTGGTAGATGTGGGAGTCTCATTCACGCCCCACTCTCCGAACGTCCCACTCGTAGGAGTGTGGCGCTTAGACGCGCTGGAAGCATCATTTGGAACAGGAGGCTACAAAAGAGGGGAGATACATCATCACAACACGCTGTCTAGATATGGAGCGCTGCAGGCCGAGATGCAACAGGAGAGATCCCAGCAGACGCACATCGCATTCAGGAGCACCTACAACCTATACTATGAGTCGATTCGAACGAACAGCAACCAAGTGAATTTCGCATCCGACAGTGACGCCTATAAGCTGTCCCCATCATACATGGCTGAATGCACCGAAATCGCCAAGGTCGTCGAGGGTTGCAAGGAGAAAACATATGGTGTCAGGGATGAGTATAGGGTGAGCGGACATGCAGCCAGAATCATCCTGGAAAATGTGGAAGAGAAGGTCAGTGACACACACTCCAATCATCATCGACTGTAGAATGACTTGGGCGATTCTTGTCATGCAGGCCAGAGAATACCTGAAATCAGATCCAGTCCTGTGGATCCCATCCTAAGATCTGGTTCGAGCTTCTGAGGAGACGGGTACGGGAGATTCAGAGGACCCAGATATCCATCGTCAAAAAGAATCCACCAAATCTTGGCGTTCTCACTGGAGTGCTCAACCACATGCTTCGCTCTACCACATCAACTCCTATCGTCTACGACTCTCATGTCCGCGAATCTCTTGCCCTCCTCGAGTACAGAAACATCCTCGAAACCGCAGGAATGTTTTTCTTGCAGGACTTCGATATCAATAGCGACACCTGCCTGGATGAGGTGCAGCAAATTGATGACGTGCATGTACTGGCCCTCATGGGCGTAAATGCAAAGGCTCAAAGGGACCGGGCAGTGAGAAGAATGGACGCATGGCAAAGCACCGAGTCGGAACTGGAGGATTATCCTCTTGGTCGCACACCAACATGGACTCGACTCAAGGCAGCCATTGCCAACTCGCCTGCAATGATCATGAGACCCTGGATGTGGTCGCCCAGATTATCCGACACTCAACTCTCTGTCGGACGTTTGGTGGTCATGTTCACCAGGCACATGTGGTTGATGCTCACGCCCGAAATCTTCAAGGGCATCAGACCCCATCCAAACTCACTTCAGGAGGCCATGAAGTGCTGGACGATCACTAGCATCGATGACACTCTTGCTGCAGTCACATTCGAAGCATGCAATGCCGGACTGCATGACAGTATGGGCATCACTCCTGGTCGCATGGGCCCGAAGTCGAGGCCCTTCCTGGACAGGTGCACTCTGTTCTTTCCCGACCCTGATGCCGCCCATAAGGACAATACTCAGTGGTCTGGGCTGTGGGAGGGAGATGGATACATCGCAGAATTTCACAGGACGATGAAGGCAATGGATGAGGATCAGCAAGAGTTGCTGAAACAAGGATTATGCGAGGTATTTTCGGATCTTCACTGTCTTCCTGCGAGCGGTGCAAGAGTGTGGATGCAAAAGAACAATGCCATTGTGTTCATGACTAATCCCACATTCTACAAGATTGATTGTATTGGAAGGGGAGGCGAGAGTCAGAAGAGGGCCCCAAGAGCACGCCGCACGATGAAGCTGATCAAGGGTAAACGCATATTTGCAGCTGACCTCATGGACTCTCAACCCTTCGACGCTGATGGCAATCTGCGGAGAAAGACAGAGAGACAGAAGCGGCGGGAAATTCAGAAGAAAATGACCATGGCCAAGAAAAACAAGAGAGTCCCCCCTCCACCACGTTCACAGAGACCATTTCCCATGACCCCACTGGAAGATATTGCGGAATGAGCGATGGATGTGGATGTACTGTATTGATAATTTTTGTGAATAGCACCTTGGCCCCACCATTGCACTGAACTTGGGAACGCAAAACCGCTGTCCAAGTGCTCATATACCAGATGAACCTGAATGGCAGCTAATGGTTTCATTCTTTGGCGTGACAATCCCAGATAGATTCAGAACTGCTGCCACATGCAATACAACTCAATTGCAAGGCAACCATGGCCCCCTTTGTCGTTGGCTTGCGGGCATGAAGCACAGGATGCAAACCTGTGAATGTTACCTGCTTCCATTAGTCCACCCCCTGCCTATGAAGAGCACGATTTCGTAGATCAGGGTGCCGTCAGGGGCGACGATCCAAACTAACCTAACTAACCTAATGCCATCCATTTTTCATCAACACAATTTTATTTCAAACCTTGGGACCCTAGCATGAAGCGCAGGATGCAAACCCGTGAATGTTACCCGCTTCCGTTAGTCCACCCCCTGCCTATGAAGAGCACGATTTCATAGATCAGGGTACCGTTGGTTGAGCCATCAGAGTCTTCATCGACATGGTAGACCCCTGTGAGGGACGAGTTACTACTGAGCAAGTGAAAACCGCTGCCAGGTGCCAGAGCGAAACATACATTCCAATAACGTGCATCGCCTGAGTTTCCACAGCTTAGGGTGACCACTATGCATGGGAGGTAATGCTCTTCTACCCTCTGCATTGGATGCACGGCTAATAATTGAAGGTCGGATAGACATGAAGGTTAATGTGGAAACCAGGACGATATACAGAAGGTCGAGCGGCCAAAGAAAATGGGTCTCCCAGTGTTGGAGCGATGATCTGTCTTGTATAAATAAGAATGATCGGATCAGCAGATCAGCAAACAATGGGGTTGCAAGATACAAGCACCAGGATAATGTCATGTCATACCTAGGATCGATTAACAGATTCGTGCGGACCCTAATCATGTCAAGGCCCAAGTTTCATGGAGCTGAACAATGGGATGGAATGGATAAAGAAATTCGGAGGCTATGAAGACAGGGACAGTAAAGTGACGGGAATATGATGTGTGGACTCTAGGATGCTGGGGCAATCTCAGACTTGAGTACAGCACATACATACAGTCTGCTGGAGGAACACAATGTCAGCGACATTCAAGAGGAAATCATGAAGTCCAAGATTCTGGACTGGGATTGTGGGTCCAAACAGGGATCATGTTGAAACAAATAAAGGACGATGGGGCAGGCCAAGAAAGCGAGTTGTGCAGCGTCATGGGTACATTTGCTTGACCCCTATGTTCATGTTCATGACACTTGCAGGTAGCAAGCAGAAGGTAGATTTTGCGACTATTCAGGTGGACACATCCACTGGCAATGTCCAGAATTCCGGTGGAAAATGTATCATATGTGCTACCACAAGTCCAGTACCTGATCATTTGCCAGCCCAAGCGGATGTGGTGCACCACATGGGGATCAGCACTGCACACGATATATTTGAAGAGGATGAGATTCACGAGGAGGAAGACAGATTTGATATGCTACAGCGAATCGTGAACTCCGGCATCCTGGATTGGAATCCCCAGGAATCATGGACTGTGAAGCATAGAACACCTCATAGGCCACATATGGATCGACATATCGAGGAACGGTCGACATCGATAGAAGGCAGCAGAATGGCTGAGCAGGAGGACGATACACAACAGGATAAGCTACGTCGGCCACGCAGACAACTACCAAAGAAAGGAATTTCACGTTGCCAGTCCCAGAATTGTACCTCTATTGTCTTGTAAATTACACTCGACCACGGGCAGCAAACACAATACACGAAATTTCATGAATCACAATAGTGTCAGATGTGTCGTTCACACGACAAGTAACCCATGCCAGCAAGAATCTCCGGATGATGTGGATGGAATATACTGTGGGGTGGTAATAGCACCTCCATCCCTGCCGGTGCGCACAAAGTGAACAACCAACCTACGACAGCTGACAATACCAGCAAAGAGGAAGCCATCCTTAAAAACCAAGTAGTTCACCATACTTGAACAGTCATCAAATGGTTATACTTCAACCTGGCCCTTATAAAGCATACAGAATCTCACTACAGTATATAGGGCAGATCACACAACAAAACATATAGATATGCCAGAATACCATGACAATAGTTCCAGCCTCCTCTCACTTACTATGACCATAGGAACATATCTGTGGCTTCTATGTCTGTAAATTTGCGATGTACTATACCTATACTGGTGATACCAGATGTCTCTATCATAGCGTCCCAGCCAAAGATCGATTTTTCAGCCTCTATACGACTTGCCTGGCTTCAGGTAAGACTCATTCTAGAGGGCATTTGACCATCTGAACACGTTGGTCGAGCCGGACTTCGCTCTAAAAATCATGTTCCAAAGATGTCCACCCATGCCATGCTCCCCCACCCAAAGATCGATCTTTTCAGCCATCATATGGCTTGCTTATCTTTAAGTAGGACTCGTTCTAGATGTTATTGGACCATACAAACACGTTGGTGATGCCAGATTTGCCTCTAAAAATCATGTTCCAAAGTTGACCACCACCCCTATCATGCTCCCTCACCCAAAGATCGATTTTTGCAGCCTTCATATGGCTTGCTTGGCTGTAGCTAGGACTCATTATAGAGGTTATTGGACCATCTGAACACGTTGGTCGAGCCGTATTTCGCTCTAAAAATCATGTTCCAAAGATGTCCACCCATGCCATGCTCCCCCACCCAAAGATCGATTTTTTCAGCCTTCATATGGCTTGCTTGTCTTTATGTAGGACTCATTCTAGAGGTTATTGGACCATACAAAGACGTTGGTCGAGCCGGATTTGGCTCTAAAAACCATGTTCCAAAGTTGGCTGCCCCTGTCATCCACCCCCACCCAAAGATCGATTTTTTCAGCCTTCATATGGCTTGCTTATCTTTAGATAGGACTCATTCCAGAGGTTATTGGACCATACAAAGACGTTGGTCGAGCCGGATTTCGCTCTAAAAATCATGTTCCAAAGTTGTCCACCCAGGTCATGCTCCCCCACCCAAAGATCGATTTTTTCAGCTTTCATATGGCTTGCTTGGCTTTAGGTAGGACTCGTTCTAGAGGTTATTGGACCATCTGAACACGTTGGTCGAGCCGGATTTCGCTCTAAAAATCATGTTCCAAAGTTGGCTGCCCCTGTCATCCACCCCCCACTCAAAGATCGATTTTTTCAGCCTTCATATGGCTTGCTTGGCTTTATGTAGGACTCGTTCTAGAGGTTATTTGACCATCTGAACACGTTGGTCGAGCCGGATTTCGCTCTAAAAATCATGTTCCAAAGTTGTCCACCCAGGTCATGCTGCCCCACCCAAAGATCGATTTTTCTAGACTTCATATGACTAGCCTGTCCTTCAAAAGCATTTTTCCTGGGGGCTATTGAGCCCTCTGAACACGATGGTAAAGCCAGAATTGCCTGGAAAAATCGTGTTCCTGAGATATACAAGGTCCTCCTCCTCCTCCTGACCTCATGTATGTCACTATCCCGGTATTTCACCTCAATACCGATACTGCAAACATTGATCCTAAGGTATTTGAGGCCTGTGAATCGATTGGGAATGGTCCCAGACCTTCCGGAGGTCAGCATTATTGTGATATGGGAGGTTGGCTCAAATATCGGTATTTTGAACATATCTCTACAATCCAACCGCCGTTTTTCTTAATTGTTGGCTCATATCCATCCTATCAATACCCTCTATGATATGTACCAGCCCACCAAAAGATATTTTTTCACAAGTTTGAAACCTATTTCTATTTTGACCCTATAAGTGAGATATGAACAGCAGTAAGTGAGGAGCCAACAGGAAAAAAAGATACAGACGCACCAACATCTGGGATATGATATAAAGCTATATAATGTAAGAACCCAATGACCCATGCGTCACAACGTAGGGCCTGGCTAGACCCAGCATAAGCTCTGCAAGGGAGTGAAGGGATTTGTACAGCCCCAGCAGCAACCCCTCCCAGGCAGTACAGCCCAGGAATACTATGCCCTGTAAAGGGCAGAAGGGGTGCCGCCCTGCCTGACATAACTCCAGAATACTCCAGAAGCACCCACTATTGCAAGTAGGTGTATGCACAGACAGTTGGGTACAAGGAATACATGGATGGTGGTAGACAGAAGAAAAGAGGCATGGCAAAAACAAACGAAAAATCAACCTTGACCAAACAAAGGCAAATACACCACACACACACAATCATTGAGCACGTGACATAAAAAGTAAGCTTTTACAAGGGAGTCCAAGGCACCGAAAAAACCATGAATATAGTCTTTTGTGTGCAATTTTCTGTCTATCTGATGATGTTAATCTTGGTGGGATAGGCTGGTTGCTAATCCTTTGAGCATGATGGTAGATTAATTTGTATGCAGTGCAATAAAATTGTGAAATATGATAATCAAGTTTGAATTGATGTATTCTGTCTGATCACAAATGACATCTACATATTGTATGGCTCAGTGCGATGTGGCTTGGAATATGCTGGTAGGGGGCTAATGGGTTTATGGCTGGTGATGAAGACTTTGTATTTTGGAGTATCAGTATGGAAGGATCAAGTGAGAGACGAGAAGAGGACTATGGAGATGATACATTCCTCTCCATTTTCTTTTATTATCTTACCTTGTGCTCAGACTTCACGATTCCCTTGCTTGACCATTCATCTCTATACTCACCATATGCTCCTCATGCTCATTCTGGCCTAGTCAATCACTCAAAATTGTATATATACAGCCCATGTACATTCATAATGATAGCAGAATCTTGTACACTGATTCCCCGCTCCAAGTACAACCAATGCCTCTTAGAAAGTCTTTTTTTCTAAGAACCTGTGTTTGTGTCATCAATTAGCACGTCTCAAAGCTATGATGTTTTGTTCACATTTTCCTGTTGAACTGATAGTCAACCTTACATGAGGGACGAGTGAGATAGAGTATTTTGCAGTGTTTGAGAGATCGGTGGATATGAT